GTATGGCATGAAACCATCAATAAAGTCAAAGAATTAAAGTTTTAGAAAGGTATTTATAATGAAGATAAAGGATTAATATACATAATAGAGAATACTTAGAGAGTTATTTTTTTTTGGTAAATAATTTTTATTTTATTTAAGTGATTTTCTTCCACCTCTGGCTTTGAGATTTTATGTTTAATAAAGATAAAGAGGTAACTCACAGAAGAGCAAATCGCTCAAATTTACTGGTAGGCAGAGAACTACAAACTGAAGATATGCTGGTATCACTTACATCCATTAACAGCAAAAAATTAAATACAATTACTGGTAACTAATACTGTTTGGGATGTGGGGCTACAGATACTTTGCTACACTGCTGGTGAACTATGAACAGTAATAGCCTTTCAGAGAACCAAACTGGATATAAGTAAATTAAATATAAAAATTAAATAATCAGTTTAAAAAACATGTGACCCTTTGATCCAGCAATCATACTCCTGAGATTCTATTCCATAAAAGATTTAGAACACATATAAGGATGTCTGGAGAGGCTAGAATCTGGAAACAAAGTAAATGCCTACCAAGAGAAGAGTAACTGAATAAAAATCTACACATAAAAACAAGCATGTTTATGTGTCCACATGAAATTCTGTATGAGTACACATATGGCTGTATAAAAAAATTTTTATTGGGGCGCCTGTGTGGCTCAGTCGTTAAGCGTCTGCCTTCGGCTTAGGTCATGATCCCAGGGTGCTGGGATCGAGCCCCGCATCGGGCTCCCTGCTCTGCGGGAAGCCTGCTTCTCCCTCTCCCACTCCCCCTGCTTGTGTTCCCTCTCTCACTGTCTCTCTCTCTCTGTGTCAAATAAATAAAGAAAATCTTTAAAAAAAAAAAAAAAATTTTTTTTATTTAAGTTCAAGGATAGACAAGTAGGGAGAATAATGGAAAAGAACCAGCTCTGCAGTTGTTCCTGAGTTCAAATTCTGCCTCTATCATTTATTTACCTGCTGAATGACTGTAAGCAAATTACTAAGCTTCACTGAACCACTGCTTCCTCATTTCTAAAACGGAAATAGTAATTACCACTTCATGGGGATTTTCTTAGAATGACATAATGAGTATAAAGTGCTCAATTTGGCAGGTGACACGTGCTCAAAAGGGGCAGCTATTATTATACTTTTTCCTTTTTGAGATGAAAAAGCAAAAAACAAAAACCCCAAACAAATATAAAACAAAAACAAAAAAAAAAAAGTGCCTCCAAACTCCATTGCTTTCAGAAATAAGAAGCACCTTGGGGAGCCTAGGTGGCGCAGCTGGTTAAGCATCCAACTTTTGATTTCAACTCAGGTCATGATCTCAGGGTCATTGGATGGAGCACCACGTCAGGCTCCTTGTTCAGCAGGGAGTCTGCTGGAGATTCTCTCTCCCTCTGCCCCTCCCCCTCCACATGCTCTTGCTCGCTCTAACACAAAAATAAATCTAAAAAAAACCCTTAAAAATATATATACCTATGTATTTTCTATTACTGAAAGGCCTCTGTCCTTGGATTACAAAATTCACATGGGAAAAATCCTATATATATCCCATTATAAGTCAAGCTTGACAAAAAGCAAGATGATGATGAAGACATTCATCAGTTTTGTTTTCATGTTAATTTTTTTTGGGGGGGGGCTTCACTCTACAAATCAAGTCACTGTGTCCTGTCTTAAATTTAGTTTTTGAAGAAGCTAAGCAAAAACCTCTAGCGGGGCCTGGGTGGCTCAGTTATGTGTCTGCCTTCAGCTCAGGTCCTCATCTCAAGGGCCTAGGACCAAGCCCCATGTGGAGCTCTCTGCTCAGCAGGGAGCCTGCTTCTCCCTCTCCCTCTGTGCTCTTTCAAATAAATAAATAAATAAATAACCCTCTAAAGTAATATTACAGGTGAAATTTCAGAATATAAAGCATGTATCTGGCAAAGAACCCATGTCCAAAATAAAAATGTAATACATATACATAAGTAAATATTATTGTCAATACATGTATACTAATATGTACAAATCCTGCTATTTTAGTCCATCTGGACTGCTATAACAAATACCACAGACTGGATGGCTTAAAAACAGAGGAAATTTATTGCACATAGCTCTGGAGGCAGGAAATCCAAGATCAGGGTGTGAATATGGTTGGGATCTGATGAAGACCCTCTCCTTCACTGCAGACTACTGACTTCTTGCTGTGCCCTCAAACGATGGAAGGTGGCAAGGGAGCTTCTGGACCCTCTTTTATAAGGGTGCTAATCGCTATTATGAGATCTCTGTAATCATGACCTAATCACCTCCCAAAGTCCCCATCTCCTAACACTAACATCATCACTTTGAAAATTAAATTTCACAACATGAATTTTGAGGGAGACAAACATTCAGACCATAACATTTGCTAAATGCAAGAATGCTCATAGCAGCTTTGTTCATAATGGCTAAAACTGGAAAAGAACAAAGCAAAACCAAACATCTGTAACAGCAGAATAGATTTTTTTCAAGTGTGGCTTATTCATACAGTGGAATACTCTCAGCAATTAAAAAAATGAAAACAAAAAACAAAAAAATGAAGATGCCTTCTGATACACTCCCAAAATAGAATGATCAAAAGAAGTCACATACAAACAAGGACATGCTGCACAACTGTATGATTGCGTTTAAATGAAGTTCAGGAACAACTGAAACTAATGGTAGGGAAAGAAGAGTCAGAATAATGGTTATTCAAGGGCAGAGAAGGGGTGGTTATGACTGGAATGCAACAGAAATAACTTTTTGGGGTGCTGGGTATATTCTTCCTCTTGGTAGTAGTCACAGCGGTGTATTTATATGTAAAATATCACTGAGTTGTATACCTCAAAGTTGTATATTTTAGCCTATATAAATTACACCTTGCTGTGAAAATAAACTTTAAAAATTTTAAAGTAATTTTTCTCCTAAAAAAATTTCAGAACAAAATTTAAAATGTCAAGTACCATTCCCATACAACAGTCACTATTATTTCCAGTAAGGCTGAAAAGAAAAGCAATATAAACTTACATTAATAATACTGCAGTGTAAAACAAAAAGAAGCATTCACCAATATTATATGGTTAAATAATTTGTATTCTCTGATCATCTACCAGCAATTAATTAATTAAATCTTTTTTTTATTTGACAGAGAGACACAGCGAGAGAGGAAACAAGCAGGGGGAGTGGGAGAGGGAGAAGCAGGCTTCCCGCAGAGCAGGGAGCCCGATGCGGGGCTCAATCCCAGGACCCCAAGATCATGACCTGAGTCGAAGGCAGATGCTTAATGACAGCCACCCAGGTGCCCCTAAATAATTATACATCCATGAGAATCTTTTTAGGTTCTAGCCACCCACAGAGTAGAAGTTTAATGTGAAATAAAAAGCACATGACACCAGCATATATAAAACGTTAATCAAATACATCAGATTTTGTTAATAAAGCGATCTTTTACACATCATATAACTACCAGGTTCCTATTCAAGAACCACCATTTTCATGGAACCAGAAAAACTGGATAGTTCATATCTTTAAAAATTATCTGTCTGAAAAACCACACCAAAAACATTTAAGAAACAATTTTTGACCAAATGTTTCAAAGGACTTCAAAAGAAGATCTGGAAAGACAGAGATATAACTGAGAATCATTTATCCAAAATATAATTTGCCAGCAATAGGGAAAAAAAAACAAAAAAACAACCAAGTAGGTGTACCTTCACTAGCTATACCTGTTATGTATCTTCATGCTTCGATGCCTCCATTCATACTACAAGTACAATGCTCTTCCATCCGTCCATGGCTGGGGAGCTCTTTTCTGGAACTGGTCTTAAATGTTACATTACTTATTACATTACTCTCCTGTTCTCCCAAGCTGAATTAATCACTCCTTCAATGGCTCCCACTGCTATTTCAGGCCATCCTATGACTTGTGTCTATTGTAATGACAAATGATTGCTTTGTGTTTCACCTCCTAGCTCCTGCACTGAGGTTGTAATGAGCACTCAATAAATGCTGTTTGAACAATGACAGCAACATAATGTAGGGAATCAGAATATTAGTTCTTCAAAGAAAAAAAAAAATCTGTCTAGAAATAAAATGATGACAACAGCAATATTTTGATCAAGTAAAAGTCATTTTCTGGTGAGAAAAGGTCCAATTTTGTGTTCAAATGCTGTTCTTCCCCTATAAGTTTTTTAAAGTAATAGTTTTATGGAAATATTATTCATTTAAGGTTCTAATATATCTTTAAAAGAAGGCCACCTTTTGTCACACTGAAAAATACTGATGTTTTATTGAGGGTTCTGAGCAATTCATTCAAAACCCAGGTCTGGGACTGGAGAAACTGCTTTCCAAAGATAAATACTTCAAGAATGTGAGAAAACAACAAAAATTAAAATCACTAAGATGGGTGCAAAGGCACAAAGCATCATCAAATTTTGAAGAAAATTAATTTCAATTCTTGTATGCTGTACAGAGAACAGTTTTTATTGCTTTGCTTATAAAACCTTGAGGAATGTATGCACTTGAGAAAGGGATACTATAAAAAATGAGAACTCTTCATTTTAGAGGAATGAGCTAAAAGGGAATACAATCGAAGAGAATAAAATCATGTTCTTCCAATTGTAGAAACTAGAACTAAGCCTTACCTACAAAGAACACATTTCTGTGAAGTGTGAAAACAATTAAACAAAAGGAAGTTTTTCATACTGCATAGCACGAATGATCTAAAAATACAATTATGTTCAAGAAGAATTTAGCTACCCAATGAGTAGAGGACATCTTTTGCCTCTGAGGTGAAACCAATCAAGAAAGAAAACCTTTTTCCTTCTTTTCTGTGCCAACACTAGAAACAACTTTGGGCTAGAAGTGTATTTAAAAGTTCTATTCTTATATTAGATAAAGGAATTATAAAAAGTTCCCTGAAATCAAATAGCCACAACAATCTTTTCCTAACAAATTTTTAAAAGGATTAATGCTGAATTATCAGCCCCTTACCTTTGTAATGAGAATTCGGTATTTTTCTACCAGGTGGTCGTTGTTGTGACAACCTGCTAGCAGCTGCCAGACTTCTCCTCGCAGAGCTTCAGGAACACCGCTCCTTACTAAGGATGACAACTGCTTTGGTCTCACACTCAAATTGAGATGCCTAAAAATAAAGCCATAATCTGTAAGTGTATTATTTTTTAAAAATCTTATTTTTGGGGCTCCTGGGTGGCGCAGTCGGTTGAGCATCTGCCTTCAGCTCAGGTCAGGATCTCAGGATTCTGGGACTGAGCCCTGCACAGGGTTCTCCGCTTAGCAGCAAGTCTGCTTCTCCCTTGCCCTCTGTGCTCTCTCTCAAATAAATAAAATCTTTAAAAAAAAAAAAATCTTATTTTTAAGTAATCTCTACACCCAATGTGGGGCTCAAACTCACAACCCCCAGATCAAGAGTCACACCCTCCACCGACTGAGCTGGCCAGGCACCGCTAAACAGTGTTATTTTTATGAAAACTAGACTAAATGATTTTTACAGACTTAATAAAGGTAACATACTAATAAAGAAAAAAAAAATAAAGCTGTTGAATTAGATGTGGCCAAGATAACTAAAAGATTGGGTGGTGGAAAGAATTGTGCAGACCATTTCCTAACTATCTTTAAATTATTGCCCTATTTTTATTTTTTTAAATAAAAATCAAAACTAGAAACTATAGCTTCATGGTTGTGGCTTATTTAAGAAAAACACAGCAAAACTCCAATCAGCGGACACAAAACCAAAGATAAGAGCTTGGCCCTACATCAAAATTCACAAATGAATTGTGTATTTATATGTCCTAAGTTAAAATTAAGTTAAAATAAATATTTAAAATAAATATAAAAATAAAGCTTTCAGCATTTTTTATGATACCTTGCTTCAAGTAACATTTTTGAATGACTATGATTGATAAGAAAGTTTCTACTGTACTATTATAACATCAAAATAAGTTATTAAAGTCTTTGAGCTTCATTTATCTAATCTATAAAATGGGGAAAGTAAAACTTAACTTGAATCGGTACCAACTTTTTTAAAATTTTTCTTTTAGATTTTATTTATTTGAGAGAGAGAGACAAAGATAGTGAGAGAGAGCACAAGTGGGGAGGAGAGGGAGAAGCAGGCTCCCCGCAGAGCGAGGAGCCTGATGTGGAACTCGATCCCAGGACCCCAGGATCATGACCTGAGCTGAAGGCAGACACTTAACCGACTGAGCCACCCAGGTGCCCGAATTAGTACCAATTTGTAAAGTATTTACATATAATTTTATTTGATCTTCACAATAACCATCTGAGGTAGGTGGTTAGTATTTCCAGTTTTACCGATGGAGAAAGAAGTTCAGGAAGTCGATTAAATGACTCAGGCAGTCCTCAAACTCAGATCAATAAATATTCTGTTGGATTTCATGGCTGCTTTGTGTTTTGAAAGCCACCATTACTGAGTCAGTAATGCAGAATCCTGACCTGGAAAGATTTCTGTGACTACCAGATTTAAACAGAAGTTACTGATACAAAATGACCACTCTCAAAATACAAAAAGGACTCAGACTTTTCTCAAAACATTCCCAGAATTCTAAAGAATAATGCACAGTACATTTAAAAATGGTTAATTCTGTGATGCTAGTACCCTAATGCAGTAGCTATAGACAATTCAATATGGTTTTGTCTTTGCTTGGAAAAATATATACATATAAAAGTTGAAGGGTTGGAAGCAGAAAGAACAAAAGCAATCATTACTTAATTCAAGGATTGGTGCACTATGGCCTGTGGGCCAAATCTGCCCACCGCCTGTTTCTGTAAAGCAACTTTTACTGAAACACAGCCTTCTTAAATTGTTTACATATTGTCTATGACTGCCTTTGCACCACAACAGCAGAGTTGAGTAGTAGTGACAGAGACTACTGGGCCACAGAACCTAATATTTATGACGTATATATATTTATGGCCTAAGTATTTATGACCTGGCTCTTTACAGAAATAATAAACCTAACCCTAGGTTTATATGCTAATCCTAGCTTAATTTATATTGGTAAAATTATTTTCAGAGTAATTTTATGTCACTGATCGTATTAACTTCATTTACCCTCAACATACTATTTTGTACCAACATTAGTTCTCTTATCCACTAAGAGTCACATTAAAATGTACTTGAAGAATCAGAGCTCAAAGGTACTATTACTAATACTGCCACTAAAATCTAATGTGGAGTTAAATAAACCAACTTTAGGCTCAGACTTGCCTGTGTTAAAAATTTTAGGTCTGCCATTTACTAACCAAAATTGCTGACTAAATCTCTGAGCCAGTTTCCTCATCTATATAAATAGATACTAGTTCATAAGGCTGTTATAATAGCTGAAATCAAGCACATAACTTAGCACAATGCCTGGCATATGGTAAATTCATTAATTCTCACTACTATTACTACTAGTACAACATCCATTATTTTTAACTCACAATAATCTTGAATGGTAATTTTAAAGACTTGTATATTTTGTAAATGAAGAAACAGAAGAGTTAAGTGACTTGCCCAAGACCATACAGCTTGGACGTAGGAGAGGTAGGATTTGAAGCCAGGTTTACTAGGCTCTAAAATTCCATGATATTGCAATGTTTCCTACCTACAGAACATATATAATAATGATGGGAAAAAAGATGAAATGAATTAAAGAAGAGAAACAAACTATATTATTATTTCTGAAGACAGGACCCAAATCAGTGAAAACAGTTTTAAACACCCTAAAGAAACATGTAGACTCAGTTAATGTATTTGAGGAAGTGGAAGAAAGACATAATATAAATGAATGAATGAATGAATGAATAAAATTTGGTAACAAATTCCAAGCAATTGTATAAAATGGTGGTGAGTTCATCTAATAAAATCTAGAGTCTAAATGCTGTATCTCAATGATTTTAAATATACTATTATGTAACCATGTCAAGATTCAATTACATTTCTATTTTAGAGCAGAAACCTTTTTATACAGATGAAATGCCTGCCAGCAGCAGTCCAAACACTCCAAATTCACTGAACTGAAAATATAATTGTGATGAGAGCATCAGCAGGTTTGTCTCACGACTGCTATAGGAATATCAAAAGTAAATGAGGACTATATCCTGGGGGGGTGAAGGGGCTTTTGCAGAGTTCTTTTACTAAAACCACTTGTATAAAGACAAACCATGCTTTGGTTTGCATTTTCCTCCTGTACACATTTGACATTTCCCGATGTGGAGCATGTTTCACCAAAAGTGTAAAGCACTGTGGGAGTGCTAGAAGCAGATGTATGCCCATTTGTAGTCCCATCCCTTAAGGACATGGAAGATTTTTAAATGCTGAAGCACAGTTTTCTAAGAATAGAGTGAAAGGCTTCAACAGTTAAATTTTCTGAGAAAAATTAGACCCCAAAGTAATAGGCCCATGGGGAGCTTACATGACAACCCTAACAACCAGCATGTCAGAAATAGAGAAGTGCTCAGATCACTTTCAAGCTTTTTTTCCTCCACAGCATATAATGGCATCCTACAGAGAGGAAAAAGGAAACTACATAAATGTCTCACCAACCCGACTTAGCAGAGTGTCTCTGGTTTCATTAAGAAATACACCAGAGTGTATCCTTTCTAGACAGTCTATAGGATAGTGCTTCTTAATATTGTTGTCAAGCTATCTCTAGAGCTGAGAATTTCTCTTGACAAGAAATTCCTGAGTTTTACAAGTGTCAGTAGGAAAGTAATTGTTAGAGCAGTCAATATACAGCATGTTCATAACACTCTGCTCTGTCACTTTAGGTACATAATACAGATAAGGAAAAATCCCACCTGAGGTCTCTACTGTGGCTCTACGCATTGTGTGAGCATCTTCCAAACTTCCCTGATTATTGTGTACTGTCTTAATTGCTGTGTATTATCGTAACCAGTCAGTGGTTCCTAACCACGTCAATAAAAAGGAGCTCTTTCCTGATTTATTCTCTCCATACATTCCATGCTTGAATTAATATTTTCTGCAGCAATGAGAATTTATTAGGTTTCTGATATTCTGAAAGGTGATTTCAGATCTTCACTACTTACCCTTATAAATCTCTAAAAATAGAGATTCTAGAACACAAACCCCATACTTTGGTTTCTATAATAGGTTCTAAAATAGAACAATTCCAAAATTGAATATTGTAGTTAGGGGAAGATACCCTACCCATAAAATGAGAATTACAGATGAAAAGGAGAACTATTCTAACTTACCATTTTGACAGCAGTTCTCCCCATGTTTCAAGAATTTTTCCTGCACATTCTTTGGATACATCACCAAATCCACTCAAGAGAGGTTCATCATTATCTTTAATAAATAAAACACATAAAAAAGGATAACAGAAGTGGCTATGCTAGCCAGAAGAATGAATGGAAACATAACAGTCAAATTTGAAAGATTTTACTGGGAGCATAAAGTCATAAGTTCTATTTCTCTCTTTTAGCATTCAGATATAAATACAAAGAAAATAAAAATGATCCTAGGTACAAGGATCTTGCTATGATCTCTTTATTTCTCTTTCGCTTTCCATAGAGTCCACATTATGTTAACTGTGGAAAAGAGCCATTTCTAAGACTCAAAATACGGTATCTTCTTTTTCCTTTTCCAAACCAAACAACTTTATCCAGGAAAATATATAGCAGTCTTGTTTACCACAGTTAAAAAAAATTACAAACCACCTAAGTGTCCAACAATAGGAGAGCAGCAATAGGAGGCTGATTAAATTATGATATATGTTTATAATGTAATTACATATTGACATGTGTTTACATTAATAATCTGGCAAAATGCCACATAAAATAAAAATCAGGAGCTAATAAATCTTCGTTATGATCAAAACAGTCTGGAGCAAATTATGCTAAGACATTAACAATTACAATCTCTGAGTGATGGAGTTATGATTTCTTTCCCCCCTCCTTTATGTTTTTAGGGCTCTAAATTTTCTACAACGACATATATTTATTACAGAAAGCACAAAAATATTAAAAAAGACCAAAATGAGTCATTTCAAACTTCATTCTAGTAATTAAGTAAACTCAAATAAGAATTTAAAGATTTTAAGATAGTGAAAAAAGTGACAATGATAAAGGCCTGTGACAGGAATTTAAAAGTGTAACGAAAGGGGGAAACATGGACTAAGATATTTACGTAATCAATCCTCTTTTACTGGACACTTGGGGAGTTTTCAATTTTCTGCTACAAATAGTATCAGGATGAACATAACTCTTGTTTTCACTGGGCATATGCCCAGAAGTGGACTTCCTGGGATATTTTGAAGCTTACTGACAAACTGCCTTCCAGAATGGCTCTACAATTTATTTCCACTAATAGGGGACAACGGTACTTCTTTCCAAGTGTCCTCACCAATGCTATTTCTAAGTCTCCTGGCTTAACCTGCCTAAACAAAGTTTGTATCTTTATACCTTTAACGATTACATCATGAATTTGCATCTCTACCAGCAACAGCTCAGAAATCCATGACACTTATTACTTCTTTACATTATAACGGCTTGGACATTAGCATCGGTTTTGATGGTGAGATAGGGAAGACACAGACTGAATGTAAGTGAGACTTCTTTTGGGACAAATGGGAGACAGAATAAATAAGGAAAAGAGAAAGGCTCGAGGGCATGAAGATAAACATTCCCAACTCTGCTCTTTTGCCAGAATTGGCTCTACTTTCTTAAGCTTCAAGCAATTCTCTACTCATTCAATTATCAATACAACACAACAACTCTTTGGGGAATAGCAGCTATAAAAAATGTACTAAAATGTACCAGAGATGACAATTCCTTTAAAGAGAGATGACAATTCCTTTAAAGAGATTAGGAAGACCTGTCTTATCAAATTCTCTTTTACTCTTTTGGATGCTTTCAACATATCTTGACAGTAGCAGTTTGAAATATGTGTTTAGAACTCCATCTACCTAAAGCAGGGGTATGGGTGAGGAGGGAGCAGGCAACCTGTTTCAGTCTGAACACCTCCCATTTATACCTGCTGGCTTCCTGCCCTGGGAGCACAAATGTCCTATGGATAAGGAGCCTCTCCACTAGAGGACTATAGCCATTTCTTTCTAGGGAGCAAACACATGTCAACAGAATGGGTCTCCCTGGTCCATATACTAGGTTAGAGAATGAAAAGATGGGAAGACTACACAGTTTTCTTCAGCCCCATGGTCCTCTCATTAGCCTTTCACTATGGGAATGGATCGGGGTGGGGGGGTAACCTATCGCACCAGTATCTCCTGAGCATCTATTACACACCAGGAATTGTGTTATACACTAGGGAAAAATGTGGGCAAAAAAAGACACTTTTGTCCTTTACAGAACTTGTGTTCTCGTGTTCCCTAACTCTCCCATGGTCTGCTATTGGTCCTTATCTCTTCTAGTTAACACCTGTTACTAGAGGCCCTCTGAACTCCTCAATTCCACTGAAAAATGTATGCCTGCCATAGATTAGATTTAGACATTAGTCCGAATGTTATCCTTCAGTTAGGCCCAAATTTCTTTGTAACAGGTAGATATTCTTTAAAATCTGCAGCATTCAGATTCAGCATTTGACCATTCTCTGGTTTCATAAAAATAGTGTCTTTCTCAGTTTATGGGGGTTTTGTTTTTACTGCTGAGTTTAAGGGGAGAAGAGTTCTTTATTACTTGCTCTTCCATCTTAAGATGTTGACTTAGAAGGTAAACTACAAGTCTCAAAACTACTAGTTATACAGCAGTCTCAAACAGCGAGAACAATTCCACCTTTCCCAGCTTTAACACATGACTTAATTGGTACTGCAGGAAGACTTTAAATTCTATCTCTAACTTCTCCCAAAACAACATATGTGCTTTCTTTGCACTTCAAAATGCTTTATATGAACTAAATGCACCAAGATGATTACAGAACAGAGCTCAGACTAACTCTCAGAACTGGATAAAGATCCTCCTTGCCTATTTCTAGCTGTGTGGCCTTGGGCAAATTCATTTTTCTGAGATACCATTTCCTTATGTGCAAAATAAGGATAATAGAAATCTTGTTCTTCAGAATTTTTGTGAGGATTATATAAACAAAATATTATTTTACTTTAGAAACAAACTTTAAAAGTCCCAGCTCAAAAACTACTTGTCATGATGTCCTACCACATCTCCCCACAATGAAAAATGGATTCTCCTCTATGAATTTCCAGAACACTTTCTGTGAACCTCACATAGACACATGCTTCATATGACCTTCTATCATAATCAGCTTTTTTCCTCTTTATAAAAATAAAAAGTCCTGGTACAAAATTATAGGTTAGAAAATGCTTCCCAAACTTTTGCTTTTCCTGTGCTGCTCCTCTCCACTTCTCACTTCTATATAGTAGCTTTCAACAGAGACTGACAGATTAGTTAATGGATATAACCATTAAAAAAAAGAGAGAGAAAAAAAGAGAAATGGATGATTCCTAATGTTTATCAGTGTGAAAATCCAATAATATATAAACATAAATTTGTATATTTAAATACTTATATTTTGTGAAAGAGTCATGTGTGGAAGCCACATTTTGGCAAGTGAAATTGTCCCTGTAAAATGAACCAGTTGAAATGGGAACATTTATTTAGGTGGAAGCTATGTCAAGTTTGCTCTAAAAATGTGCTAATACACTAAGCTAGCACATGCGGATTGTTTAAAAAAACACTAATTATAAATCTCATTTTTTTCCAACTTGATTACAATTATCTTAAAGAAGGTCCTGTGCTCATCATTTTTGAATCTCCCATGGTCCTTTGCATACCGTACATTCTCATTAAGTATTTACTGAAAGAATTCCAAATGCTATCTCACAGTATCAATTCCCTCATAAAATTATAATGGTGTGCATGGTGTACCACCCCATAATAGAAATTAAGCTCTCCCTACAATTTACCTTCCTCTTCATCATCTTCTGGAGGAGAAGGTATCATTGAACTCTGGGATCCAGACTGTGGCAGGCGAATTGAGGGACTGGCTGTAGTTTTCCTCCTCTCTCTCTCTGATTCACTTTCCAAGCACACAACTTCATATAAAGTGTCAGTATTGTTCTTTCTCTCCTTCTGCTTTATCTTGAAGATGAAAAAATATTATTTACTAAGTGGTACAATTATTTTCTAATTGAGCACTACACTTCTGATTTCATACAGGATGTGAGAATAAAAAGGTATTACTTTGAAATGTCTACACTAAATGTAACCTTTTCTTTTTTTTCTTTTTTAAAGATTTCATTTATTTATTTGACAGAGACAGTGAGAGAGGGAACACAAGCAGGGGCAGGGGAGAGGGAGAAGCGGGCTCCCCGCCGAGCAGGGAGCCCAACGCGGGGCTCGATCCCAGGACCCTGGAATTATGACCTGAGTCGAAGGTAGATGCTCAACAACTGAGCCACCCAGGCGCCCCTAAATGTAACCTTTTCTAAATAGAAAAATATACGTTTAGACTTAAAAATCCGCAGGAAAACAGGCTAGCAGGACTCTAATTCTGCAGTTTTAAGTTTAGTTTAAGAAACTACCGATGAGGGGAGCCCCTAGGTGGCTCAGGTGGTTAAGTGTCTGCCTTCAGCTCAGGTCATGATCCCATGGTCCTGGGATCAAGCCCTATCTTGGGCTCTCTGCTAGATGGGAGTCTGCTTCTCTCTGCCCCTCCCCCTGCTCATGCTCTCTCTCACGTGAGCTATCAAATAAATAAAATCTTAAAAAAAAAACTATCCCTGTAAAAATGTTTTGTTTATTTTTTTAGAGAGGGAGAGAAGGTGGGGAAGGGCAGAGGGGGAGAGAGAGAGACTCTGAAGTAGGCTCCTCGCCCAGTGCCGAGCCCGACGTAGGGCTCGTCATGACTCTGAGATCATGTCCTGAGCTGAAATCAAGAGTCAGATGCTTAACTCAATGAGCCAGCCAAGCACCCTGAAAAAAATGTTTTAAAATATTCTAACACAGTTTAGGACTAAGAGAGTCCTTTTATTTCCATGCCTCTTCCCACTCCTTTAGCTTAATTAAAGCAGTATAGGGAACTTTAACTGAAAGCTATGACTGGGGTTGGGGGGTAGAGGTGAGTGGCAGAAGAGATTTATGAAATTCTTAAAAATTTTGTATCTCAAATTGGTTTGTATTTTGAGGCAAACACATAGCAGTTTGAACTGACCTAAATTAAAAATTAAGGACCAAGAATATAAAACTTTTCCAGTACCAAATTTAAATATATTAATATTCCACATTACAGCCAGTTTAAGAAGGGGGAAAAAAGAGTGAAATACAGAGCAGGAAGAAAAAGCAGAATTATAGGAAAAGACAGAAAGACAACTAGAAATGTGGCTACACCAATGAGAAAGATGTACAAGCATAAAGTAAAAACACAGAAAGAGAAGGGGGATTAAAATGCTCATTAGGTACAAAAATATCAGGCAGAGTGGATTTTATCATCTGAATGTTCATGTAGTTCTTAAAAAAATTATCCCAATCCTGGAAGACCAAGTTAGTGGCAACGTGTCCTTCCTTTCAATATCATCCTGAAACACTGCTTAATATAGGAGTCGGTAAACCTTTCTGTAAAGGGCCAAAGAGTAAATATTTTAGGCTCTGTGGGCCACTAGTCTGTCACAACTACTCAACTCTGCCACGATGGTGCAAAAGCCCCCATAGACACTAAGTGAGGGAGTGTGGCTATATTCCAAAAAAACTTTATAAAAACAAAGGCCAGGCCAGATTTGACCCACATACTCTAGTTTGCCAACTTTGTTTTAACATGTCCACCTAAGGATTAATTTTCTAGATGAATAAACAGTTTTGACTTAGCTACTTACTATTAAAGACCCAGACTCTATGAAGTTATATATTAACCTACAGATTTGTATCCAATAGATAGGCAAATGATTTGTCCAGTAGAAAAGATAACCCAACCTTTAAGACATTAGCCAGTTTTATTTCTGACCTAGCAATCTTGTTCTAACATTTTTTTTTTTAAAGAAGGACTATATCAACTCAATTTCCTCAAATATGTAGAGCCAGTTTTACCATCTTACTGGCTCCCTCAATACTTAATGAATTGAATTAAAATCTACGACATATCTTCATTCTAAATTTATAATTATGTTTAACTTTTAAGTATTACACTTTGATAGGGAATAGGATTTTTTTCATGTTACAAATTACTGTCTGAAACAGTTAATTACTATCTAAAAGAGTTCAAAGATCAATAGCTCTTTACTTAAAAAAAAATTCTGAGACTATGTAAATAGTCTAGGTGATAACCATTGCAGCTCACCTAGAAACTCTTCCTGAGTTATACTGACCATACAAAAACTGCCTTTTGAAGTCAGATAAACATAGTCATGAATTGAACCCCGCTTATAAGAATGCCAGCTATTAAAAATGATATACATTGTTGAAGCTGGGAAACAGTACATGGGGGTTGATTATACTATTATTTTTATTTCTGTGTGTTTGAATGTTCTGTAATAAAAAACTTGTGAAAAATCACTCTTGAAAAACATAGACTTGAATAAATGGAAAGATACCATGTTCTTAGATGACTAAACATAATAAAGATGTCAATTCTCCTTAGTAAAAATACCAAGAGCTACAAAAGTTGAATCTAAAGTTTACATGAAAAATAAGAATATCCGGCAAAATCCACAAAAGAACTGGGGAGGTAAGGTAGTAGCCCTATCAGGTATTAAAACGTATTATAAAGTCTACATAATTAAAAGTGTGATATTGGTGCATGAGTAACCTAAAAACCCATGAAAGAGAACATAAAAGCCCAAATAAAGTCCAAACATGCAAGAAAATGTGATATATGATAAAAAGTGGCATCTCAAATCACTGGGGGAAATGTTAGACTATTCAATGAATGGCTTTGGGACAAGTAGATGGCCATTTGGAAAAAGATTAAATCAGACCCATACTTTACACCATACACCAGAATAAAACACTAATGAATAAGATCTAGAAGTAGAAAAACAAAACCATGTAAGTAATAGAAGAAAATGTGTAAATTTTTTTATTATTGGGTGTAGGGAAAGTATTCCTAATTATGACTCAAAATCCAGAAGCTTTAAAGCGAAAATCTTGATAAATTCAAGTACCTAAGAATATAACCATGTGGCAAAAAAAGCTGAAAAGATTCATCATAATTTAAGTCACAAGACAAGTGACAAACCAGGAGAAATATTTGCAATTTATATCTCAAAGGGTTAATCTCTCAAATACAGAAAGAGCTTCTAAAAACTAAAAGGAAAAAGGCCAAAACCAAAAAGCCAAAGATATGAAGGATAGTTCAGAGAAAAGGAAAGTAAAGTCACCCTTAAACATATGAAAAAAGGCTTGTTTTCATTCACCAAAGGATAAATTAAGACTACCATCAGATCCTTAAGTTTCATAACATACTCTTGACAAGCCTGTGGAGAAACAGGTACTCTCATATCCTGTTCATCTCTATGATTACAACAGTGAGAAAGGGAAATTTGGCAAATATAACAAAATTACATATGCAAAATTATCTACTCTAAGATGCACTTTCATTAAATCAAAACATATGCACAAAGTTCTATACAACATAATTTGGAATAGCAAATGATTTAAAAAAATCCAAAAATCCATCAATAGAGGACACTTAAAAAATCATAAATCATGATTCATCCAAACAACAAAGTACTATGTAGCCATTAAGAATGAGGAAGATCTCTATGAAATGATGTGGAATGATCTGCAAGATATAGTAAGTTAAAAAAGCAAGGTGCAGGACAGTACATAGGCTAGTTCGTATTTAAAAAAGGGATTTAAAGGGTGCCTGGGTGGCTCAGTCATTAAGCATCTGCCTTCGGCTCAGGTCAAGATCTCAGGGTCCTGGGATCAAGCCCCACATCAGGCTCCATGCTCAGTGGGAAGCCTGCTGCTCCCTCTCCCACTCCCCCTGCTTGTGTTCCCTCTCTCACTGTGTCTCTCTCTGTCAAATAAATAAATCTTAAAAAAAAGGGGGGGGGGTTAAAAATACATAGGAGTATTTTATTATTTTCCCAAAAAGAAACATTGGGACAATAACCCAGAAACCACTAATAATGGTTACCTATGGGTTTGGATGGAGAAACATGAATGAAAGTTAAGACTTCTGAATACATTTTTACATAATCTTGACTTTTGTACCACTGTATATATTTTAAATATTCAAAAAATTAAACCAAATAAAAGACCCAAGGTCCCCAAATTGAAAATATGGAAACAAATGAACCTAGCTATATGTCAAATGGTAACGTAACTATAATGAAAAAAAATTTTTTTCCAATTAACTTTTGAACACAGTACTCATTTTATAATCATACTGGAACATGTTCAAAGGGGAAAAAAGTTCCATAAAATCTTAAACTTCACTCAATAGTTTATTAATTGCAATACTGACTTTTTTGGAATGAATATCAACAAATGGGAATTTGAAACTGTACTGACTCAATTTCATATTATATACATCCATTTTTATGTTATACCTACATATTAGTTGTATTGTTTTTCCCAAAATTTAAGCATCTAAAGTTCAGAATATGCTAAACATTCTGAAAACCTTTTCATTTAGATGTTTACATACTGATTTTTATATACTGATATTAAAATATGGGTCTTATTTCCAATTAAAAGAAGTTTGTACAATGTAAGTTGTACACAAATTGCAGTGTGGCATCATCTATATTTTAGAAATGGTACAAGTTTATTAATGAATGCTTAATTACCCCATGATTAATTGTATTAATATGTTTCTCCTCACTGAAATTTTAAGTAATTAAAATCTGTATTTCAAAAACAAATACAATAGTACCTTTTCTTAACATTTTACAAGTTTATAAAGATTTTGTTATAAATTTGCTAGGAGCAATAAAAGAAAGATCTGTATTAAGGGTGTTTCCTGCAATACTGTTATTTTTTAATTCTTTGATAAAGTAGGATAAAGCAAATAAATATATTGCGGTTATTATATTTAAGATATTCAATATTAGAAACATATATAAATGTAAAAGAAGAAAACCCTGTAATGTGAAATTACTACTGAAAATATGTGAATGAACTCAACTGACTGAAGGATC